TCTATGAAAATAAGTTTCTGTGTTTATAATTTACTTAGTCTCAGATATTTTGTTATACCTGCACAAACAGACTAACATACTATGTTACTCAATCCTTAATCTAGTTCTTACAAATCTTAGCTGTCTTAGTTACTTTTTACTTGTTGCTGAGACAAAATACCTGATGCCCAAAGTTGGGAAAGGAAAGGTTTATTTCTTACAGTTTTTTGAGGTTTCAGTCCATGCTCAATTGGCTCCAAGGCAGGGTGGCATGCTGGAGCCACAGATCATGGTGGCTGCAAACCAGCAAGAGAGCGAGACACACCTTCTTCCTACAATTACATTGTATCCGCCTCCACCCCATGTGGGTGTAGCACTGACACCATCAATCCCAACTCTAGACAATGAAACAATCACAAATGCATAATGCAAATGCATGAGGCCTGGGGGCCACCATAAACTATGACATTAGCTTTTCAGTTAATTTAGCAGGTACTTATGGAAATTACTGTCCACACTTAGCATTCCACCAAGCAGTCAGGGGATATAACAATGTATTGGAAAGCATTTAAATTTAGAACTGATGTGAATTCAGGTAGGGAAATTTTCCAGATTCATTTGTATTTGTGTAATATTTTATATTATATATATCTAATTTGGAACTACGAAAGACCAAAAGCTTCAGTACTTAAAAGAAGGAAGCTACTACAACTCAACACTTAGACATAGAATTAAATCAGTCAAGTACATTGAGTGTTAGGAGGAACAATATGGATAGAAGAGCCCATCTTGTAGTTTTAAAATCATGCCATTGCGGTATAACACACTTTTAAAAGAGAAAAATATCCAAGATTCTTTGAACCGGATGAAATTCTATTACTCTGTGACTCTACAGTGTCCCATTTGGGGGGGGGGTGTCATTAGATTAAGTAACTTCCCAACATTTCATCTGGTTCTTCGATAATTTTACCTTGCTTTTGTTTTTCATGCACAAAGAGTCTGCCTATCATTCTTGTATACTCTACACTTGAACAGTTACTCTGTGCAGGGTATAGAAGATAATTGGCTGGCATCACCAAGAGTTTGTGATGATTCCCTGGTGTGTTAGCTTCCTAGGGCTGCAGATCAAGATGTTGGCAGAAATAGGCCCCCTCCAAAGCCTCTAGAAGAAAATCTTTTTTGTCTTGTTGACTTTTGGTAGCCCCAGATGTTTCTTGGCTTCTGTCACATAACTGCAATCTCCCTTTGCCTTCACATGGTCAACTTTCCTCTATGCCTCAGTCTTCTCTTCTTGTAAAGGTATCATTTATATTGGACTAAGGGACCATCCTACTCCACTAAGACTTCATCTTAACCTGCATCTTAATTACACCTACAAAGACATTCTTTTCCCATCAGGTCACATTTATATGTACCACACAGTAGGATTTCATATTATTTTAAGGAGTATGATTGCAACTACAACATCTAATGACTAACTATACATTTATCTGTGTCTAGGAGTAGGGCTTTATCAGTGATGAAACAGCACAATCAAAATTGCCGACAGTGGGAGGAAATCAGAATTTTACTAAGCTAACATGTTTATCAGTTGTGCTAACCAGTCATATATTTAACCATTGTATGATATTTTTGCTTGTTCCTACTTGCTTTTCTTTCTTTTTTTTTTCATCATGGAATAATATAGTTAAATAATTGGTGTTGGGAATTTATGGGAAGATCGTGATCTTCCAATAGGTACTTTCCAATGAGTAAGGTAAGTAATGAGTTATTTTTCAGTTTATCACATATCCAAAAACCATGAGAGAGCTTATCAAAGGTTTTGTAGATGAAGTATATATCGCAAGTATTTAGGTTTATATTTGGCTTTGAATTATATATATGCACACGTACACACACACTTTTATGTAATTAAGAGCATCAGCAATTTAATCTGAACACTAGGTGCATGGTCTATCCTCATTGTCTTGCTAGATAACTGGTGATATATTTTTCTAACACAAGAAAGAATTAAAGTAAATGATATTCTGCAAATTTGAAATGATGTTGTTCACTAATCCTAATCAACCAAACTGAAGACATTTAATTCATGATTTACTTATAGCTAGGAAAAGAATGTGGCAAAATAACTGTCCAATCATTTCCCTGTAAGACCATCTCAGTTTTCATAGGAAATAAAGAAGACTGGTATGTTCAGCCTCACAGCCCAAAGTGAAAATAGAAGAGCAAAACAAAACAAAACAAAACAAACAAAAAACCTCAAGGAAAACTATTAGATAACTACCAGGAGAAAATTTCTCAAAAGGAAAAGCTAACAGGTAATGAAATTTTTTGATTGAGAATCAAAAGAGATGCTGATAGGATTAAGATGTTGAAAGAAAAATTTAGGTTTTATTTTAATCCTACTGTTTTGAAGATGGACTAATCACTAGCACTACTTGTCCAACAGTTTACATGGAATGTTTCAATTTGTCATCAGTATCATAGACAAGTCAAGAGAAAGTCTGAAATCAAATGGAGGGTGACATAGAATTCCTTGGGGACAGTGAGTGGGAATGTCCACTGCACTTTATTTAAGGATGAGTGGAAAATTCTCAATAGCACAGGAACTAAAAGGGAAATGTGAAATGTAAATGATGTTTGGCCAGTGAAGCAAAGGATTTGTAGTGGCAAAAAAAACTACATATAAAATTATTTAAATTGTACATTTTATGCATCTTGTAGCACAATGTAGGCTTAGAAACAATTTTGATTGTGATTTTGTTGTGTTAGTTTTGATCTTAACAAAATAGATTTGTTATTTTTGGTTCTTCTATTTATTCAGATGGGTCACACCCTCCTGGTTTTGAGAAATCTGATTGTTATCTCTTAGTTAGAACCATGCCTGATGAAGTACTCTTTCAAATTTTGGAAGTTTAATCATGTTGGGTTCTTAACAAGAAAACCTCAAGGGAGACTCAACTTGAAGAACAAAAATGATTGTCAAGTGAGCTGTGGATTAGGGTCTGATTCTTGGAAATTCAATGAAAACAGTTTAGGCAAAGGTAGGTTAAATAAGGCAGACAGAAAGAAATGGGAGATAAATGGGGCAAAGCAAACACAACAAGAACTCATTAAAGCAGCAGCCCATGAGTAATTCATAACTAATATCTGATACATAATTTAAGACCCAAAGGTCACTTAATATTAACTATATTGCAACACATATACACCCAAAGAATCTAGCCTGCAATTGTTGCTGAGCTTGCCTCAGCTGTTTTTATTTTTTCCAAGTGTTTCTCTGGAGGCACAAAAGAAGTACAAAAGTAAAACTAGATTTATTGGAGGCATTTACTTGGATTAATTAGCTAATAAAAGCATTTTCAAATTGTTAATTTACTAAGTAATGTCACCAAAATGCTGAATTACTTTGTTTTTATTGTGATGATCAAAAGAGATAAATGAAGGCCTAGCCACAAAACCTAAGCCAAGAGAAAAGAGGCAGCAGTCATTCTTTGCATAATTACTGGCATTTGTCATCCTTTCCTTGAAAAGGAGATCCTCAGTTTTTCTAAAGATTATTTTCTTTCCTTCAGAGTCTCTTCTTCAGAACTGTTTATGAATCGCATTGTCCTCATTTACCCAGCAGCACGCACCTTACTAATACACTTTTCATTAGTCAATTTAATGAATTTAATTTCAGTTCAAAATGTTAATTAAAAAGTGTACATTTTATTCTTACCAGGAGGACACTTAAAAAGTCTTGGTTCTCAAGTGTTAGGTGGAATTACTAACAGTAAATTTGAAAAACAGGATTAATCACTGTGAAATTTAGTATTATGGGCCTGGGGTGGGTTTTGACAATGAATTATAATTAATTTTCCTATCCCTTTTAAGAAAACAAAGGCTCAAAATCATGATACCTGTAATTTGACTTAGGAAAAAAATTTTGAAGAAAAATTTAAGAACCAGAAATGAAGTTTGCCTCAAAGAGGAAAGCACTAAAGAAAAAGCTACAAGACCAGATAATCCAAATAAACCAAGTCCAAATCCAGATAAACCAAAAAATTATGAGAATTTTATTATTTCTTGGCTTAAGAAAAAAAAAATATCCTTTGCCAACTGTAAAAATGCTTCCAACCTGGAAGAAAAAGGATCCATTTTCTAAATAACTACATTTAGTGATTTCCATGAACTTGACATTTTAGAACTGCGTCAAAAAGCCACATTAAAACTCAAGAGGTCTTAATTCCTAAATTGTGAACCTGTTTGGGAAATATCTAAAATAAAATTTAAAACGAACCAGTTAATATAATTGCGGTGCGATTTTATTGATAAATATCACATACGCACCGGATCAGTTTCTGTAAAACACGGCTGTTCTGTTATTCATATTGTGCTTTTTTTAAAAATTAGAGATGTGGCTTTACATACATATAAAATACCTATCTACAAAGCGAGTTTAAAAAAATATAAATGTGTTGTCTTTTGTCATCATTAAATTACAAAAAACCCCAACAATACTACACCACTTAGCTTGAAAATCTTATATTCATGCCTGTGAGGATTAACGCGGTTATAACAAGGACAGCAGCACATCCAGGTAGTTAATGTAACAGAAATAAGACACAGGCAGCAACTTGCATCCCCTGGCAGTTGACATGGTAATTTCTTCGCCTCCACTCTTTGGCTTTCTCCACCCTGCTTCAAACCCCCTCCCCCTCAAGACACGCGGCACCCATGGTGCCAGGAAAGGTGCCTTGCGGGGAAAGAAGAGACGCCGGAAGAATGGGGGCAGAGCGCTTGGCGCCTACACTCTTGGCCTCGGGATAAGCGCGGAAGCCACCGGCTGCCTATAGTGGGAAGTGGGTTAGGAGCCTGGGGGTCCGGGCGGATCCGGATGCCTCTCCCTGCCCTCCCCCAAGCCCGATATCTTTGGGCGAGGCGCTGGCCCCGAGCCCCCAGCTGGGCCCCTGCAGGAATGGGTGGGCGGAGCACAGAGCAGCGTGGGGAGGGGGAAAGGGGTGGGGTGAACAGTTTGGGTTTGGGCGGACCGAGCAACGGTGGCACAACGTGCGAGCTAGGTGGGTAAGTCTCCCACCTGGACCAACGAACACGAGGACGACCACTCCAGTGGAGCGAGGAGGACCTTGGAGTCCGGCACTCTGGCCATCGCCACCTTCAGCAGCACAAGACGGTAGACTCGGGAGCGCACCGGCGACCCTGCGCACAGGTGGGCACCCTCGAACTCAGCTGCTGCAGACTGGATGCCCTCCCTCCTTCCAGGCCGCTGCGCTCTGGGGTCAGGGCGGGCATGCCCGGAGGTGGGAGAAAGGTCCACGGCCCCGCGGTGTGTGCGGACGCTGTTCTAGGTGGGAAAGAGACGGGGAAAGCTGCTCCCTTAAGACTCACTCCTTGGTCTCACTGTCCCCACCCCCACCTAGTCCCCTTCTAAGGGAGCGACCACCCATGTGGCTTTGGAAGACTTCCACCCCCTTCCTTTTCGCAACGTGCAGGTCGCCTCTTTTCCATAACTCACACGCAGCGACCGTACGCTTCCTGCTCTAGCCACGCGGGACCGTGGGAATCGTGGGAGGAGAGGCTGGTGGCAGGACCGGCCCGGCGTGTGCAGAAAGCCTGGAGTTGTTCGAGTTATTGTGTGCTGGCGCCGGTGCGTGCGCCCGGGAGCTCCCTCGCGCTTTCGGCGCCAGGGTGGAGGTTTGTGGGTGCAGAGTGGGTGTGCTGAACTTATATCCGAGGGCTGGCCCTGCACAGACCCTAGCCGCTTCTGAGCGTGTGGACGAACGTTTAACGCAGTCTCGTGGGAGTGAGTAGTTTTGGTCATTCTCGGGTTCCCAGGAGACCCTCTTGGGATAGCCCAGCGCGCATTCGGATTTGGGAGGCAAGGGAGAAGAGAGAGTTGTGTGTAAACCTCCGTCAGAAGAAGAGTTTCTAAAGGAGACTTGATTTTCTTGGATTTGTTGCAATTCTGTAAACCAAAACTGGCTTTCGGGGCATTGAAGTAAATTACGGGTAAGGCGGATCTCTAGATGGGTTTAAAAAGCCTTGGGATTTGCGGGGTCGTGGGGTCGGGCTGGCGCGCTCGCTTGGTGGCTTTTGGCGCTGCCTCACCAAGGTGGTGGGGCGAGGGGTGGTGCTTGTGTCTTCAGTTAAAAGTGTTGGAGCTGGGGCGCTTGTGCTGGATAAATTGTGGAATTAGAAGCGGTAAAAAGCTGTGTGGCGGGGTCTGTTTTTCTCAGTTAACTCCAGAATTTCAGTATTTGTCTGTTTTTCTCTCCGACACCTTTAATCCTTCCATCTCCTGGCTGCTTGGACTCGCTGTTAGTTGGTCATGTATTTTTGTTCCTGTGTTCCTTTCCTGATTTAGTTTTATTTCTTCCTTTTTTTTAAGGGGGGAAAAGAGCTAAAATTCATAGGGTAAAATAGGAAGACCTTTCAGCAGTCAGAACATTCAGCTCAGACATAGGATGAAAATACTCCTATCCAAGTGTTTAGATTGGACAAAGCTCTATTTTAGATTAGAATTATTTTTAAAAGGTGTTTTAGACCTTGAGATATACAGTAACCCTAATGTGAATCTCTCCTCACTCTTTTTTTCATTGCGGTATTTCACTGAATTCTTAATTACCTAATTAACAAAGTGGACAGATTATCTTCTGATTTTAAACAGCAGGTCTTGAAATGGCTGTTAAATTGGTCTGTGACTGCATCTCTAAGGAACTGCCTCTCTAAGGAACTGATGCGAGAATAATACACTTGATGACCTGGGATGCAGATATATTTTAATTTCTAATTAAATAACTTCTCAAATCATTGGGAGAGAGAAATGTTGTAGGAATTTTGCACAAGATGAGAAAGAATACAAAGTTTTTGTGTTTTGGAGCAAATATTTTGCCACTTTTTCCCCAGTTGCTCCTGTTAGATACCTAAAAAAGATGCATTGTTGATGCATAATTTATGGTTTAATTCTCCTTTTTGTCTACAGGTGGCAGTGTAGAAGCCAAATCGGGAGCTTCTAGCAGTGGTTTCTAAAAAATAAAGAGTTGAATGTACATGAGTATGCAAGCACAGGAATCTGAAAAACCACAGGTATGTAAGGACAATCCATCTATCCAGCTTTATAATTAATGCATTCCAGTAGTACTAACCCTTCTGCTCTTATGGTCAATATGTTGAAATTTTATAGACTTACGGAATGAAATGTATTTTGAGGTAGTCTCAGAAGAAAACAACTCTAACCTATGTCAGACAATTTACCTAAATAAAAACACTGCATATTATTGTGTTATCTGACTCTACTGTTCTAAAAGAAAACCATTATTTTCTCTCTGTGACTGTAAGGCTTTGTATTTAACCAATTGTTATTTTTGGTACTTGCTTTTAAAAACATTTTACCGGAAACTAAAACTGCTAATTGTCCTGAACAATTTTATTTGGGGTGCTATTAAAGAGTCACACTGTCCAGCAGTGTAACTGTATCTGCCTTTAATAAAATTTGTGTCACGTTGTTGACTTACACCCCTTGATTAGAATACAGATAGCATTGGAAGGCTTCTTTTAACCTCATCTGGATTTTTTTTTGTACTGGGAATTGAACTCAGGACCCCTCTGCAACACTGAGATATATTACCAGCCTTAGTCTTTCTGTTTTTAATCTGCCTGTCATATTTCTCCTACTTGGCTGCTTTTCTAGCCCACTAACTTGCCCATTTTGCCGAAATAAGAATGCGTTATATGTAGATCAGAAAACAAGGTTGTAAAAGACATCAAAAGATTTGGTTGTGATTATCTTTACAGTGTAGGGTTTTGCACATTAAGGTTCTCAATGTGCACATTATTATGAATGGCAGAACACGCCTGATGGGGTATAGAGTTGATCTTTTTGTGTTTTTCAATTTTCTTTCTTTCCTGAGAATGGCAATAACATAGCTGCTGGCATTTCCACAGGGAAGCTAGTTACTGTGTTGAGTTGTGTAAGGGGGCTTTATAAGGGTTTGAACATCAAGATGGCTGTTAAAGGGAAGGAAGGTTTCTGTTCTATAGGGGATGTACATATTTGCAATGCCAGGAGGTGATGATACTTTACATTGTGATTTTTCGACATTCGTTTTTATAGCTGAGGAAGAATTCTTTTAGTTCATAGTAATAAATGCATAAAACAAAGGGATACTGTTCTTGAAGATCAAAAAAATTCAAATTAGACATTTAACCAGTAGAAAGCAAATTAGAAGCTCAAACTCAAAGATTGTACTAAAAACTGGTATCACTATTAGGACCTTATGGGTAAGGAATGGCTTCAGTAAGGCTTGGACATTTAAAAATGTGTTAAGTTTGCTCTGCCTGAGACTTAGATTCATTATCTGACAGAGGAAACTGGGAAGTAACTCCCCTACCATGTCTGGGAGGTGCAATAGGATCTAATCTTCTAATTCATAAAGGAAAAGAACAAGGCTAAGATGTAATCTTTTTTTTTAATCATAGCACACTCATTGTAGAGACATGAGGTATTATAGAGGTATTTTACTTGGAGGTGAACCATGTGACATAGTGTATAAAATGTGTTGCTTTAAAGGGTGCTGATCAGTTAATTTGACATGTTGACATGTATATACACTCCATGACAGGTCAAGCTGTAGAACATTTCTGGTAGGCCAGAAGATTTCTTCCTGCCTTTTCTGCTCATCATTCGTCTGCCTCCAAAGGAAGGTAACCACATTATTATTTTTTTTAAAACAACAACTGATTTCATCACGTTTAATCACCAATTGATAGTATAATAGAAACTATGCATATTGTCTTTTATGTAACAAAATGTCTGTGTGGTCATGTGGATCAGAAATTTTTTTCAAACTTGTTGAGTAGTAATTACATGGTTATGCTGCACTTTGTTTATCTGTTTCCCAATTATATCTTTGGGTTGTTGCCAGTTTTTGGCTACTGTGAATAAACAGCTGTGAACATTTTTCTTACAGCTTTGGGGGGGAAGGATTGTAGGGTCATAGCATTTAGATTTACTAAATGACATCAAATAGTTTTCGTAAGTGGTTGTTATACAGTATCAATTTAAATTCCACCAGAGCTGGACTGGTGAAATATTCCTGTGAAGCCTGCACTTTAGGAGGCTGAGGTAGGAAGTAACATGTTTAAGCCCAGTGAGGGCAATTCAGAAAGACCCTGTCTCAATATAAAGGGCCAGAAATTAAGACCAGTGTCATGGCCCTGGGTTCAATCCTGAGTACCACAAGCAAAAACCAAACAAACAGACAACAACAACAAAATAGAACACCAGTAGTGCACAGGATTTCCTCTATGTTTTTACTGACACTTGGTTTTGATGTCTTTTTTTTTTTTTTTTTTTGAGACAAGGTCTTGCTATATTACCCAGACTAGTAGAGAATTCCTGGGCTCCAGCCATCCTCTCTTCCTGAGTAGGTGGGAGTGTAGACACAGCTTATGAGTCTTTGAATTTCTGGTGTTTTGGTGGGGATAGTGGTATATTTACATGGGATTTTAAATAGCTTTTTTTTCAAAGATGAGGATGTAGCTCTGTGGTAGAACACTTGCCTAGGTATGTACAGACTGATAGATTCTATACTAGCACTGCAAAAAAAAGATTAAAAATTATGGTAGAACGCACATGATACAAAATTTATCATTTTAGCTATTTTAAAGTATACAGATAGTGGCTTTATATACATTTGCATTCCTGTGTAATCATCACTGTCTATCTTTAGAGCACTTATCATCTCACATAACTAAATCTTTACCTATTAAACAACAATATCCTATTCCCCTTCCCTGCATTTCTCAGTCTCCAGCAACCACCATTCTACTCTCTGTCCTCAAGGTTTATCCATGTTGAACATTGTATACTATTTGGCTGTGTATATGTGCCTTTTGCTTATTTATTCATCAGTCTGTGGACACTTGAGTTGCTTCCATCTTTTGTCTATTTGTGAATAATACTACTATGAACACGGGTGTGTAAGTATCTCTTTGAGACCCTGCTTGCAAATTTTCAGGTATATATCTAAAGCAGAATTGCAAGGATAATTCTACTTTTAATTTTTAAGGGATTGACATATTGTTTCCATAGCATATCCCATTTTATGTTCTTAATAGCTGTGTACAATGGTTCTGATTTCTCCACATCCTCACCAAAGTTTGTTAATTTCTATTTTATGATAGTAGACATTCTAGAGGGTGAGTACAATCCCTGTAGTTTTAGTATACATTTCTTGGTGAGAATTGATGTTGCATGCAGTTTTATATACTTACTGGCAGTTGTGTATGCTTTTGAGAAGTGCTTATTGAAGCCTTTTGCCCTCTTTTATTTGGTTTCTTTTTATTGTTTGTAAGAAATTTTTTATATGACGAATATTTTTTCCTAGTGTGTAGTTTGCCTTTTCACTATTTTATTGGTATCTTTTGATGCTTTTTCCCAGTACTGCGAGTGCTAAGCTCATATTCTTTAGCCCTTTTAAAATTTTATTTCCAAATGTGTTCTCAAAATTGTCTAGGTTGGCCTTAAACTTGTCAACAGTCCTCTTGCCTCAGTCTCCTGAGTAGCTGGGGTTATAAGCATGTGATACCATTCTCCAGCACTTTTTATGGTCTTAATGAAACCAGCTATCAATGTTTCTCTCACACTGCTTTTTTGCTCTGTTTAGGAGATCTTTGCTTTCTTTGGGGTTCTTTCTGCCTTGTAACCTGCCATGCAGAGATCAGGTTTTTGAGTGTTGAGGTTGCTCTACATGAACGGCATGAGATGGAGCTAATTCTTGTGCAAGAGGCATTTCTTAAAGATGTGGAGCATGCCCAAGCACAGCCTATCTCCAACACTACCTCTTGCTAATCAGAGGCTATACTTCCTTATCCTGTGGCACCACCCATTGCTGGGCGGGGAGCAGTTGCCAGTCCTAGAGCTCCCAGCATTATGTGTGTGTATATGTATATATGTAGTAGTAAGGCTTGAGCCCCAGGCTTCCTATATGTTAGGCAAATTCTCTACCACTGAGATGCATTCCAATCCCTTTTTAAAAATTTTGTTTGGAGATACTATCTCCTGAAATTGATTGATGTGTCTTCAAAGCTGTAATCTTCCTGCTTCAGCCTTCTAAATACCTGGGATACAGGCTTTTCATGTGCCACTGTGCCAGATGTTGTTATTTTTTAGAAATGTCCTTTTTAGTTACTGAAACATATGGATACAGTTTGTTTGGAAATCTATCCATGTATAGACAAAGAATTCATGTAGGTTTCATTAGTACTTTATACATACAGTTTGAAATTATTTTAAACAATATATTTGGTCTTCCTTTTTTGATTTTGACCTGTCACATGAAGTCAGGTGTGGAATTTTCAGATTTTGGATTTTGCCATACTAGGTAATATAAAAGGGGTTTGAAAGAAATAAGAATTTTCAATAATATCCATGGAGGCAGATGCTGTGATTCATGTGATCTCCATTATTGCCACCCTTGTCACTAATTAGTACCCAGGGCCTCTCTAGAGTGGGAAGAACCACAGAAAAGAATGTGATGATAGCTTACTTAGCATTAGGACAGTGGCAAAATAATGGGTTGAGTATCCACACCTCTTCTACTTGTATGTAATCCGTGCTTAGGATTTTCTCCTTGCCCCTGTTGCATCTCCAAGACCCAATGCTGTTGACTGGAGCCATTTCTATCCTTTAGCCCCTGAAATTTTAATGTCCCTCAGGATGCTGCCATTTATTAACTTTTCTCCATCCATTCTATAGCTTTTTCCTGAATGTCTTGCAGATCACATTGACTTTCACTTTAATATCTTGTGCTGTCTCCCTCCCTCTGTTGTTTTTAGACAACTCCTCAGGTCTTTATCTCTTGCTTATACTGCCTGTCCACTATTTTAAGGTCTTAATCTCTATATCCTTAACTGCTTCCTGGACATTTGGATGTCTTGCAAGTACCGTTATAGGAAGCATGGGTGGTTCTTCTCTAGCGTGCTCTGCTGCTTTTCTACCTCAATGTATTTATCATGAATTTAGAATTCTGAAGTAAAAGACTTGGCACTGTCCCCAGTCCTCCTACACAACTTTCATCACCCTCACAGCCCATATTTAGTTGGTTGTCAAGGCTGCTGAGCCTTTCTCCTATCTGAAGCATCTTTCAAAGATGTCTTCTCTCTTATTCACTGTTTTGTGGTTCAAGTTATTTAATCCTCGTTTGGGATATAGTAATAGCCTCCCGATCAGTCTCCCTGATTTGTACTCTAGCCTCTAATCCATCTTCCACTTGTCATCAGTTTTAATCATGCCATTTCCTCCTTAAAGACAGTTTGTAGCTCTCCACTGCCTACACAAGGCATTCACATCCCATAGCATGATTTACAATATGAGACCCTTGGTTACTTGCCTCCATCTGTTTTTCCTGCTCCATCATCTGTCATGTCCTCCCTACACTCCATCTGTCCTGAGCTATTTTCCATTCCTAGAACATTCCTTGAGTTCTTCCCCGCATCTATGCTTTTGCACATGCCGTTTCTTCCACTTCTGATGTCCAGGGCTATCTGGCAAGTTGCTGTTTTGCTTTTAAAAGGTAGCTCAAATGCAGTATCTTTGAGCCTTCCTATCTAAGTAGATTTTGTTACTGAATTTTTTAGTGTGGTTAGAAGTAACTATAATTGCAGGAATCTCTGTGTGTTGATCTTTATATGCTCAGTAACTACTGGGACAGTAATTGAAATATAGAAGGTATTTAATAAATATTTATGAAGTGAATTCATGAGGAATCCATCCCTTACTATATCAGTTAAGTTTGGCTGCTTAACAAACCACCACACTACCAGGTTTAGTTAGCTATTTTAAGCCAACATTTATGTAGCTCTTGATTTTGTAGGTTGGCAGTTTGGGCACCCAGCTGGGTGGTTCTTTAAATCTGCCTGGTCTCTTGCCTGGGATCAAGTTCATTCATGGGATCAAGTTCATTGGGAGCTGGCTTTTGCAGGATGACCTCAGCTCCTCTCTGCTCCATGTGGTCTCTAATTTGGAATCTGTGTAAGCGAGGCTTGTTAACTATTTGGCTGGAAGGTTTCAAAGAAAGTGCAGAGGTATAGAAGGCCTCTTGCACATGAGCCCTAGGTTTATAACTGGTATAAAGTTACTTCCTATGAATGAATTCTATTAAAGCAAGTCACAAAGCCAGCCCTGATTCAGAAGATGAAGAAATAGATTCCATCCCTTAATGTGAGGGACTGCATTCATATTGCAAGAAACAAGAAGACAGAAGAGAAGTACAATCTCTGAAATATTTGCAGGCAGCCTGGGAGACAGGACATAGGCCAGCTACTCCAGAGGTTGATTCCACTAGGTCACCCACGTGGTGGGCAGTTCTTACCTGACTTGTGGGTCTAATTGCACCTAAGATAAGCCCGAGATTGCTTCATGGTCTCGGACATTCTCTGTTTGCCTCTTCTTGGATCCTTAACCCTTCCCCTTTTATTCCAGACATTCTCACTGTCCTTTTGGTCTTGTTTGATGTTTTGGTCTGGCTAAGTGGAAGTACCATTATACTGTGGGATGAGGAAGGAACTCAGCACTACTGGGTAAAAGAGAGGTGTCTTTCTTGCTTTTTTATTTCTGGAAGCTTTGATGGATAGCCATGGGCATAGGGGACTTTCAGATTGTGTGGCACCCTCAAGTGTTTGCCACTGGTTTGTTTTACAAA